CGATCCAGGCCAAAATCTCCACGGGGCCCTCCGCTGCTTTGGAGGAGGAGGGGGAGGAGGAGGAGGAGGAACAGAAGGAGGAGGAGGAGGCGGAGGCGGAGGAGGAGGAGGAGGAAGAGGAGGAGGAGGAGGAGGAGGAGGAGGGGGAGGACCGTACATGGACATTATATTCGAACCCTGCGGCCCAAGATGCCCCCCCGACCCACCAAAATTAATATTGATGGCGTGGCGACGGGGGGGGGGTGAGTGGACAGAAATATTCGAACCCCAAAGCACCGCCTTTTCTGAGATCAACATTGATGTCGGGGGCGCGGGAGCGATTTAGAATCTCCCTCGAATGTGAGAGGGTTTGAATCTATTGTCCATCTACTGTCGCGCCTCCGATGTGCTGCCAGGTCGTCCGAATGGTCGTCAAGCTTGGCGCGTTGCCGCTTGTTTTAATCGATGGCAAGCGTGTGCGCACCTTTTTTTCCGTGACACCGCGATCAGCAGTTTGCCGATAGTGAATAGAGGAGTCGAGGGTGAGCAGGAGGGATCGTGGCAGAAGAAGCCGGAGCAGTCGGTCGGTGGAGTAGGCAGGGGACGGCCAGCCAGCGGGGGCGCTGTGTTGCGTGCCAGATTTTGTTGCCAGCGCTTCACGCGCGAGTCAGGCGTAGCGTGCTGCCGCTTGTTTGAATCGATGTCAATCGTGTGCGCGCCTCGACTCCGTGGAACCGCGTTCGGCCGTCTCCGTTGCAGACGGTGGACGGAGCAGGTCAGGGTGAGCAGGAAGGATGCTTCGGAAAATAATCATACATGTAAGAATTCAGACACCGAAATTCAAGACTGAATGGTCCTCTGGTACTTCTTCAGGTGAGCTTCACAAGCTCGCGATATCAACAAAAAACGGTGCGTAATGTTCCGTGGCGCCGATGGCGCGAAATTTTGTATTCCTGGTTTGTGTTTTGGGAACTCAATGTCCCCGTTGCCGAACAGTCCCCCTCGCCCCAGGGCCCCCAGGTTTTCTTTGGAGTCCTGGGCTGTAAGTGGGCGCGCGTGCAGCAAAGGTTTTGTCCATAGCCTTGCGTTACAGCCTCCTTCGAATGCCCCCCATCCGCATCCTCCTCATCCTTCCTTCCTCTACGCATGTCTCCCCTCTTACATGTTCCACTTGCCATGCGTTTTGCATTGTCTTGCGGCGGATCCCCAGCCCGTCCTAGAGTTGTCCGCTCGCTGCGAGTTCTCTCCGATGTCGTTGATGCGGTGAAGTGGCCGTGCCTGCAGAGCGCATGTCGTTCCTTTTCCCTCCTCTCTGTCGAGGACTGTCTCCTCGACCTCTGCCTTGCCCACTTGCCTGTTGCTTCTTTTGTTCCGTGAGCCACCCAAATCCGGATGCTCGCGCGGAGCTCCGCCTGTGCCTTTGCGTGCAGACACGACTGCGCCTGACTCCCTCTTCGTGGCGTTCCTCTGCCCTGCGCTTCCGGGTTGTGTCCAGATTGTTGGGTGGGTTTTCGAGGGCCGGTGACGTCGCGATTCTCGCCGGCGGCGTCTGGGAATGCCTAGGAATTCACCACCCGCCAAACGACCCCAACCCAACCCGAAGGCTTCAATTTTTTTACATTTCCAATGGGAGGGGGTCGGGGAACATTGAACAAAACACATGGAACCCGTCCCCCCCCAACCCGAAGTTCGGGTCAATTTCGGGTCTTCGGGTTGGGTTGGCGTGGTCTGGTAGGTGGTCAGAAATGATCGGGGAGGGGTAGCAGCACCATGTAGGTGGCGATCTGCATCACAGCGCCTGTGTACACTACAGTGCTTGCGTGCACCACAGCGCCTGTGTACATCACAGTGCCCATGTACTCACTCGGCCAGACGCCCCGAGTGAAAACTGAGTGAAAACATCGATGGACATTTTATGTTGCGAGAGAAAATCCATTCGGAAATCAAATCAGACGGGCTTGCAGAAACTGCAGGCGGGATTGCGCCAGAACATTGACCAAGGGTGCGCCTCAGGGAATCCTAGCGCGAGCTTGGCTAACTTTCGAAAGCTTGAACGCGTCAGAGTGTGACGCGCCTGAGCCCCCCTGACATCTCGCGAGCCGCATCGTGTGACAGCTTACCATTCGAAATCAGGAAACACTGCAAAATATGCAATTGATGTACATGAGTAAGCTACCATACGTTTTTCTTTGATTTGTGTCGAGGCCATCAAACTCTCATTTCCCCAAAAAACCCAAACATCCAAACTCTCAGGGCTTCAGGGTTTCAGGTTTGACTCAAGATTCGGACCCTCGAAAACGATCGCCGCATGGTTTGAAGACTTGATTTTTGGAACAGCGTTGGGTTTTGCATCATTATGGTTTCGAATGTGTGTTTGCGTTAGATTTGGGATGGGGCAATGCTGGGATTATAGACGATGGCAACGCGGGTGTATTTGCGGATTGTAGCACGCACGTGCTTGCGATTCCGGGGGCGCGCTCGTTTCACAAGCAATAAGTTTTTGACACTTCACGTATCCCCACCAGCCCATCCAGGGAAAATGCGTAGGCGAGATGCCTTGGCCAGGGAAGTGTAGCAGCACGCAATGTAGCAGCATTGAGTGCAACAACGAGGGTTCCAAAGAGCCCCGAGAGGGTCTCAAGATGGCCCCAGGGGGCTCCAACAGGGGCCCAAGAGAGCCCCAAGAGGGGTCCAAGAGGGCTGTCTGGGGGCCCTCTTGGAGCCTGCTGGGGCCCGCATGGAGCCCTCTTCGGGCTCTCTTAGACCCCTGGGAGGGCTCCCAGGGGGGTCCAAAATGAGCGTCTCGGGCTGTCCCCCAGGACCCCTTCTGGGGGACAGCCCAGGGACTCCTACTTGGGGCCGTCTTGGCGCCCTCTTGGAGCCTGCTGGGGCTCTCTTGGACCCCTCTCGGGGCACTCTTGGAGCCCTGGGAGTGCCCCCAGGGGGGTCCAAGAAGGCCCCAGGAGGCCCCAAGAGGGCCCCAAGATGGCTCCAAGAGGGCCCCAAGATGGCTCCAAGATGGTCCTAGCAAGTATCAGTTCAATCTCCGTCTGACGGAGTTTGACAAGGGTCTCACTGAACCCCTCCTGGACGCTTCTTAGGGCCCTCAGAGAGCTCCCGCAGGGCCCCCAAAGGGCCCCAAGAGGGCCGCAAGAGGCCCCAAGAGGGCCCCAAGATGGCTCCAAGAGGGCCCCAAGATGGCTCCAATATGGTCCTAGCAAGTATCAGCTCAAACTCCGTCAGACGGAGTTTGACAAGGGTCTCGCTGAGCCCCTCCTGGACGCTTCTTAGGGCCCTCAGAGAGCTCCCGCAGGGCCCCCAAAGCCAAAGGGCCCCATGAGGGCCGCAAGAGGCCCCAAGAGGGCCCCAAGATGGCCCCAAGAGGGCCACAAGATGGCTCCGAGATGGTCCTAGCAAGTATCAGCCCGAGCTCCTCCGAGCTCCTCCAAGCGCCCTCCCCAGGGGCCCGGAACGGCCCCTCACCAATTTTCAAAATCACCTCCGAAAAGGCGATTTTTGAAAGTTGGTGAGGGCCTCTCCAGGCCCCTGGGGAGAAGCACGTTCGGTCCGCGCCCAGCGGTTTCGAAGGACCGCGCTGGAGGCCAGGAAGGAAGAAAACGGAGGGAAAACAGAGGCAGGAGGGGAAGGGAGGAAGAATGGATGGGGGGAGGGGCAGTGAGGGAGGGAGAGTGGAGCATCGGAAGGGGGGTGGGGCAGACGGGGGGGGAGGGAGGACGGGGCCTCGATGGACGAGGGTTGGGAGAAGGTAGAAGGTGCAAGAAAATGAGGGGGAGTGGGGGCCAGGGCGCAAGGCGCCCAGAATGGGCACGAACACACATGCACGTCGAGGCGGTCTTACGATCAAAGATGCGAGTCTGCGGCCCCCCAATAAGTTTGCTGTGTTTCCATTGGCCCCAGGCCCTGCATGCTGTGATTCTGTGGCGAAAGTGAGCCGTCGCGACTCGATGTGTTTCTGTCTGGACTTACCCTGGGGTGCGTGCCAGGACATCCAACCAGATCAACCGTGTTTGAGGTCGTGTGAGGGCGTAGGGTTCGATGCGATTTGATATGTGACATTGATTTCTTTGTTATGCTATGCCATTCGACGCTGCACAATGTTGCAATGCCATGTTATGGTGAGCGGCGCTATACTGTACATCGCTATGCTGCGTTATTGTTTGCATTGCGTTGCACATCATTGCGTTAACCCTCATCGCGTTGCATTGCGCAGGGCAGTCTCGAGCACAGAAGTCCCCCTCATTCAGGTTGCGTCAGGCTTTTGGGCGTTGCCCCCCTTACTGTCGTTAGTATCCGCGACGTCCACATTGCCAGCCTCATCTTCATTGGCACCATCGCCATCGTGGCAGTCTGTATCTGTAGCCATTTAGGCTCAAGGGTAATGGCCGCGCCGTCGGAGGCACCTGACAAACCAGAGGTCCTTCGGCTTCTGGAGAAATGGCACAAACCGTCCTTGCACCATGATTCTGCAGAGTTGCGCACGCTGGAACGCGTGACTGAATCAGGCAAGGAGTTTTGGAGGAGGCGGTTTGAGCGCAGCATGGCTGAAGCAGATGGGAGGCCGCTTCTGCTGTCGTATGCTGGCGATGGCACAAAACTCCGAACGGTGCATGGTTCCAGCGTCCGGTACAATGGCAAACGTGCCAGGCTACGTGGGCACCAGTTTCTCGAATACTACGTGCAGCTGTGTTTCCTCGAATTCGTCGACCCCTCAGGTCGCAAGAATGTCACGGTCATGTTTGATGAGCCAAATCCCATGACAGACGGCCAAGGAGCTGCCGCATCGGCTGCTTTCGCTTTGCGTATGATCATGAACCCGAGGAAATACGGCCATGGAGGCCTCATCATATTTCATTGCGCATTTGACCGCGCCTTATTAGCATCAGTTTCTCGCATATTGAAGCAATGGTGGAAAAAAGGAAGCCGTCCAACAAACAGATATCTACGAGCATCCGCCGGACATTTTGTATTTGATGCAGTGGTTTGTCGAAACAGGGTGCAGCATGCACGACACCCATAAGTCAATCGAGTGGTCTTTGTGGACGTGGTACCATAACAAATCTCTGATGAAAAACGTGCACTTGGCCATCGAAAGCCTTCGCGATAGCATGCAACAGTTGAGCGGGTTGACTCCCGAGTGGATGTGGGACGTTACGGTCGCTCGCTCCGCCGAGGAACTCGACGACCCAGACGATTTGAAACATTTCTGGTTGGCGATGGGCGTGGAGGAGAGCGTCGTGGCCACCCTGGTCAGCTTGCGCTTGCGGTACTTTGGGGGTCGACTCGAGATCCTTGACACAGGCGATGCGGGCGAGGACACCTTCACCAATATCAATTTCTGCTTGTTCAGCGTCTGGCGCTTGAAAAAGTTCAATGGCAGCAGGTGCGGTTGCGGCCCTTGTCCGAATCAACTTCCCCAAGGAGAAACGATGGGGGCCACGTTAATTTTCTGGGTTGGAGGTTTTGGGCGGCCCAGGGGGCCTAGCGCAATTTGGGCGGGCGGGTGGCGGGGGTGGGTGGGCAGGCGGAGCGGTCGCCAGGGTTATCGACGGCGGCGAATGTTTTTCGGTTCGCGCAGAGGGGGGGCAGGGCTACGGCGTTCCAGGCGCCTGGCAATTCAGTGTCGGGAAAACGGTTAGGCTGGGACCCCCCAGGTGGCATGCTGCAACCCGGGCTTGCCAGATGGGCGTCGGAGCAATATTTGGCGGGCTGCGCGGACTCGCCAAGCACGTGCTGGACCGCCCCAGCGCGCAGGACTTTTACTTGGGAGGCGTGGAGCGGCTCGGTTCGGACGAACTTCACTTCATGGTGACGGCTGCTACGGCCAGTTTCCCAGCGGGCGCAGTGATGCAGATGTTGCTCAGAGATTCCCGGGTGGCCAAGCACCTGTGCGCTCTGAAGACAACTATTCGTGAGGCGATGGATAAACTTTGCAACTATGGCGATGGTATATGGGGTCTCTTCGGGAGAGTCTGCAACATGGCTGGCCCTGAAGTGCGGCACTCGTCCATTGGCGCGGCCCACGTCGCCATCGGTTTCATGATGTTTCGCTTTGTCTGGAAAGCAGAAGGCGCCCCTTGGTGCATGGTTCGTGGAGACGTTGATGCCAATTTGGACGCTCTCAAACGAGGCCCGATACCGACCGAACCCATCACGGAGCAGATGTGGCATCTGGACAAATTCCCTTGGGGGCGGCGTGTCAACAGACAGGGTGTCGCGCTGCTGGCCGACATACCCTGGGACACGATTGCGGCGGAGCATTTGCACGCTTCGGGGGCGCTCCGGGGCAAATTTCGCCCTGACACAACGTGCGAGGGCCTGATGGCGAGGGCGTTCATACACATGAGTAAGAAGGTCCCCCCAGGCCTCGACGAGGACGAACGCCGCGAAGCCATGCTACACAATCGTTTGAAGCGCCTCGAGAAAAGGCGGCCGCAAAGTTACCAGGGGCGTGAGCAGTATGTGAAGGAACTCGTTGAGTTGTCCAAGGTCCGGGAGGCAGACGGCCAACGCGGGTTGAAGTCCAAAGACGTCATCAGGTTGCATGGCAGGGGTTGGGAAAGCATGGATCCCGCGAGGAAGCGCGATTACGATAGGAAGGCAAGGTTGATTCTCTCCCAGCAAGAGCAATAAATTGACGAGGCCCGCAACCTGCAGGCGTTCCACAGGGAACGACTCAAAAAAGCTGCAGAGAAGCCGCCGCTCCGGTTCTCTTCCTGCAAACTGGCGCAGGGTGATTTCTTGGAGTGGGATGAGATCTTCAACAGCGGCGCCTTCAGGGATGGTCGCGGTCTGGATGACATGCGCACGGCAGCCAGAGAGGCGCCGCCTAAGCTCACCAAGACGTTTCTCGATGAGCTCGAGGGGTACGCAGCTGAGGAAGAGGGGAAGCACGACAGACCGCCCTGGTTCCCCGCGGTCGTTCGAAACAGGGAGTCGTTTGCGTCGACCATTTTGGGGCTTCAGACCGGCGGCGAGTGCAAGTATTACAAGTTTATCTTCGCAGCGCAGAGTCCCCAGTTCATCATGTTCGCCCCACTCGGCGAGAAGGACGCGTACTTCCCCGCGCACGTCAGCATGTTTGGCGGCAGCTGGGAAGATGCGTGCGTTTCTCAGTGGCTTCATAATTTCACCTTCGGCGCCTTGGATTTCGCTGCCTGGTTCGACCTCCCCCTACCAGACGACGCAGCCAGCATTCGGGTGCTCCGGAATGCGCATTATGCCGGCGGCTACGATATCGCGTGCGACGACGTGGGGGGGCCGCTCAGCGCGCTCTTGGCGTCGCTGCCGCGCGCCCCTGTCGCCGAGAACAGGAGCGGCGGGGCATCGAGCACGCGCGCTTGGAAGGATGAGTTCCTGAAGCACTGGCCGTGGTTAGCGGGGAAGTTCGAGGAGGAGGAAAGCGAGCGTCGGAGAGCTGCGGGCCGACGGTCAGGCTTGCGCAAGGGTGAGTCGGACGACGAGACACCCGAGGAGCAGCGCATGAACGACGAGGACATCGAGGAGATGATGGAGCATCTCCACGCCGTCCGGGAGGAGTGGGATTTGGGGCCAGATGCGCCCCAGGATTTCCTCCTCAAGGTACTGGGCGGAAAATGGTGCATGGAGCATTACGGCGTGCCTTTCGACGCTTTCAAGGGCGAGGCGCACGGGGAGATGGCCATCGACTTCGCCGAGAGGTACCTTCGGGGCGCCACCGCACGATTTAATATATCATTTTACACAATACCCGGCGCGCATTTATGCGCGGAGACATGGTGCTGCAAAGCGCAGCATTTTTTTGACCGGCGGCTCGCGTCGGGCGCCAGGGACTATGTTTTCACCGAACAAGATGTCATGGAGTACACTGAAACTCCGAAGTTTCTTCAGCTCGTCGAGGCGGCTACGGACCCGCGGGCGAAGAAGAGGCTTTTGCGGCTCTTGAACTTGCGCCCGTCTGCATAGATGTGGCTCGAATGTCCGTTGTGGGGCAACGGATACCTGTGTCCAAAGGTTTTGTCATACTCCTTCCCCCCCCCTCATTCCACCCTCTCCCCTCTTCCCCTCTGCCTGTTCCTTCCCACCTTCCCCCTCGACCTCCCCGTCGCGCTCCAGCGTTGTCCTGAAGCCTCCCCGCCGTAGAACAGAAGCGCCCTGAGGCGTCCCCGTCGTGAGGGGACTGCGGGAGCCCACGGAGGCCAACGGGGGAGGGATCGATGGAAACCAAGGGGGATTGAGGGGAACCGAGAGGGACCGAGGGGGGGGGATCGAGGGGAACCGAAGGGGATGATCGAGGGGGACCGGGGGGGGACCGACGGGGACCGATGGGGGAGAATCGATGGGGGAGGATCGAGAGAGACCTAGGGGGGCCGAGGGGGACTGAGGGGCACCGATGGGGGACACATAGGGACCGAGGGGGACCGAAGGGGAGCGAGGGGTCGGTTCAACGGGAGCTGAGGGGGAGGACCGAGGGGGGCCCGAGGGGAATGAGGGGGCCCGAAGGGGGAGGATCGAGGGGGAACCGACGGGGGAGGATCGAGGGAGACCGAGGGGGTCGACAGAGGGCGACTGAGGGGGAGGATGGATGGGGGCGGATCGTAGGGGACCGAGGGGGACCGAGGCGGAGGATCGAAGGAGAGGAAGGGGTATCGAGGGGGGCGAAGGGGATCGAGGGGGAGGATCGAGGGAGGCCGAGGGAGAGGATCGAGGGGGACCAGGGGGGACCGAGGGGGGGCCGAAGAGGGGGATCGACGGGAGAGGACCGAGGAGGACGACGAGGGCCGAGGGCGGGACCGAGGGGGACCGAGGGGGACCAAGGGGGATTCTGAGTGAAACTTATGCCGTATTCATAGTGAATTTCCTTCCGGGTTCTGAATGAAAATTCTGCCGGATTCTGAGTGCAAGCTCTGCCGGATTTTGAGTGAATTTTCTGCCGGATTCTTGGTGGATACTTTTTGCGTTTTTGCGCGAGCGGGCACGAGCAGGATCCAGGAAAAGTATTCACTCGGTTTCCTCCCATTTCTCAAAGAGGAATTCGTTATGGTATTCATTCAGGTTGTCTCTCAAGTATTCTGCGTGTTTAGATGCTCGTCGTGGTCCTTGTGGTCCGTGGCTGGGGCCTTCAGTCGTTGGGGCGTGTGGTGTGCGGCAATCGAGCGCATGTCCTGGAGCGGTGTTTCAATGACCGTGGGTTCAAGCCGAATCCAGCCGTGGCGGCGGGGGTCCGAACGCATCGCCGCGGGGCCCAGATTCTTTGAGTATTTGGGGCCTCTTGGGGGCCTCTTGAGGGCCTCGAGGATTTCAGAAGGGGTGGCATTTGCAACCAATGTTATTCCCCACGTGCTGCTGCTCTTGGAGCCCTCTTGAAGCCCCAGGAGAGGTTGCATTTGAAACAAGTGTTATTCCTCATGTTGGGGCACTTTTGAGGGCCTCCCATTTGAAACCACTTGTATTCCTCATCCTGCGGCCCTCTTGAAGCCCTGGGCGAGGTTGCATTTGCAGTTTTACTCGTGACGCTTCGCGACTCCCCACAAGCCCATCCACGGAAGATGCCTAGGCGAGATGCCTTGGTCTGGAAAGTGGATAAGCATGCAGTGTAGCAGCATGCAGCGCAACAAAGAGGGCCCCAAAGGGTTCCGAGAGGGGCTCGAGATTGTGATATATGGATATCGCTGATATCGTTTGTCGAGGAATCGCGCGGCGAAACTCTCTGCGTAGCTCTAAGGCCAAGGGCCCTAGTTCGAAACGAAACGGCAGCGACAAGGCGGGCGTGAGAGATAGAGCGGGGAAGGAAGGGCACGGGGAGTGAGCGGGAATCACACTCCTCCTGATTGACGCTCGCGGCGCCGTCGAGCGACGATCATCGATCGCAGCTCACTTCATTAATCAGAGCGCTCCAAAACAAACACAGGCAAACGGCCTTGTCGGCATGCTATCCGGCTGCCCCAGGGCATTCAACGGGTGCTGCTACACGCACCGGCAAGAAATACATGGATTCTCAAAGCGAACAGCGGCGCGAGTCCGATCGCTATGCGACAAAACTCAAATAGCGCTATCTTATCAAGATAAAGCCTCAATAGTGTGGTCGTCACCACATAAAAGAAGACCTGTGCACACTGAATAAAGTTTCGAACAATGCGGGCTAGCGTAATCTGCCACAGGATGTGGCGCCAAATGTAAAGAAAACGAGCTGGTAAGACGATTCGGACTAACGTAGTCTGCCACAGGATGTGGCTCCAGGTGTAAAGAAAACGAGCTGACAGAGCGATGCGGACTAACGTAATCGGCCACAGGATGTGGCGCCAAATATAGAGCGGCGGCGTGCGTCACGAAATCTTATTTTGAGCTTTCGCCTTGCCGGGCAGTCCTTGTAGCTGCCTCCATCTATTCTGTAGATCCCAGCGCAGACTATTGCGCATCCTCGAAAAATCTGGCTCATGGGTCATATGAGTCCTGCGAAGCCATGACGCATACTTCCTGCACGTCCTGCAGGTGATGTAGACACTATGTGTGTTGCGTCCCACACGTATGTTGTGCTCGGCGGCCACGCATGCGTTCATCTCTAATGGCGAAACCGTTGGCGTCGATCCGTTCCACGAAACCACACTGGCTGACGAGGAACTGTGAACCGTCATCGGCGATGATGGCGCAGAGCTCGCTCCCTGCGCGAAGCTGTCCGGTGATGGGGGCGGTGCGGCTGGCGCTGCCGATCCGCTTGCTGATGATGAACTCTGGGCTGCGACGGCAATCATCGGCGGCTCCATGTAGACATCTCCGTCGACGTCTTCGGGAATGGTAGGCTGTGCGTTGTTACGACGTCCAAGGTATCGTCCATCCCATCCTGGATATACTCCGGGCAAGGGAGTGTCCGCGTGCCCGGTGTGGTCGGCCTTGGACCCATTGCTGGTGTTGTTGATGGTCCCGATCTGGATGGGATTGGGGTCGCCTGGCCCAAATATCTCCTTTCGCACCACAAACCACAGCGCTGCGAATAATGTAAATCCAATCATGATCCCACTAAGCATCGCAATTTATGTCATGTAGTAGATCCAATGTGACATCGGCACTTGCCATTCCTGTGGGGGATGCTGTGCCTTCACGCGTCCGAGACATGTCATCAGCACTGAGGCAAGCATGGCGGCGCGCGGTTGCCTAGTGCCAAAGTTGTACTTCTTGGCCCCGAAGAAAGCGAGGAGCACTCCGGTCTCCATGATCTTGGTGAGCGCGTCGGCGACCATACTCCACGTAGGTATCCACGAGAGCTTCAGCTGGCTGTTGGGGTGCACTGTCTCCTTGATCATTGATGCCACGATGCGGAACCGCTTGTCCGTGGATTGACCCACGTCAGACTTGATGTGCGTCACCAGACCGTTGCTGTCGCTATAGATCTCCCCGGATCGTTTGGTGCTGAGGTCGTCGATCTGCTTGAGCGTCTTCTTCGGGTTGTAGGCCTCCGTAAGTAGCTGGCCGAACCACGTGCTCGACGCGGCGCCCTCCAGAGTGGCGTAGCCCTCGGCGGCCAGCGTCGACTTCATGGATCGCTTGACCGTGCCCGAATGCCAGGCCACAGGCAGGCACAAGTCATATCGTCCAGCCACGACGTCCCGTGGCTTGTGGGTTAGCCCGATCGCCATGCCCCACTGGCTCTTCACCCCGTCCACATTGGCGAAGGCCGCGTCGCTGAAACAGACAATGGTGCAAGTGCGCAGGTCAATGATATTGCGCTTGATGACTATGGCGAAATCGGCGGACCCGTGCACGTAAGCGACGGTCTTGTTCAGCGTCTTGGCGTCGGCCACGGTGGCGGTGTTGGTGCGGCGAGCCGCAAGGCTCACCGGGCAGGCGATGTCCACTCGCGTCTGTTCTGCGAGCCAAAGCAGTTGGCCGAGTGTGTGGCGATATCCTGAGACCTCCGAGGTGGTAAGACGATCCTCTGGTGATCGTCCTCGTTGGGCGTTGAGTTCGATGAAATCCACCTGGGCGGCGGCCGTCGCCTGGGTAATGCGGAACTCTTCGTTGGTCTTGTTTATTGTCCGGCCGCAGTACTTGATGATGCCCTCTACCTTCTTGAGGTGCAGCCTGTTCTGTAAGGAGCTAATGACTCGCTTCCACTCGCTGGAGCTTCCGCACTGGGCGATGAGGAAATCATCCACATGGGAGTGGATCATAGCAGCGAGCCCCTTGTCGTCGTAGAAGTAGTAAAGGCCCTTCTCGAGCTTGCTCTCGATGAGGCCGTGCTCCTGGAACACCTTTTGGGCGTAGAGGTACCGCTGGCGCCCGGCATCCCGGGTACCATAGATGGCGCCAGTCGCCATCACGATCTCGCCGGGCACTGTGCCTGGCGGCGGGTTCTTGGCTGGTATGCGCAGCAATAGCAGCCTCTCGATGTTGCCCGACTGCAGGTAAGCCGTCATCGCGTCGTACGACGTGAGGTCCCAGCCAAGCTGGGCGGCGGCAGCAAGCGTGAGGTAGAGCGCGTCCCTTGACCCGGTCGGCGCGTCCGTACGGATTTGGGACTTGTCCTCTTGACAGCCCTGGACGACAAGGCGGGCCTTCATGAGGTTGGCGGCCTTCTGCGTGAGCACCCAGCGGGTACCAACTGGTCGTATTCCAGGGTGTCGCTGGAAGATCTCCTTCAACTCCTTGGGCGGTAGCTTCTTGTAGGCCCCGAACTCGGTCCACTTGGACCACTCAACCTTCATGGCCATGTCCATGAGCTTCTTGTCCTTGGCGGAGAGCTTGTCGTACCTGATCTCCTTAGCAGCGGCCTTTCCGGTGAGCATCACCTCCCGGAGTCGGATGGTCGAATGCGAATCGTCGTCGTTGATCTCAACATAGTTGTCCAAGTAGAGATCGGTCCTGAGTGTGTCTTTCGGCCTCTTGAAGCACTTGGGTAGGTCGTCCTTGAGACTCTCCAAGAATTCCTTGC